GGGGAGGAAAGGGTGGGCTCCACCCCCATCCCATGAGGCCCCATGTGTCTCATCACCGCAAGCCCAAACCTGAGTGCCCAATAGCCTCTGGAGGATGGCAGCCACTGAGCCATCAAGCCAGCCCTGAGATTCTAGCAGCCTCTCCTTACTCGTCTTTCCCAATGCTGCCATACTGGAGGCTCTTTCAGGGTCAGGGGAGTAAGACCAATTATTGCTACTGTTTTTGGCATATCAGATACTTCATGGGTATCTTGCCAGGTAGCTTGTCATGTGTACCTGTGACACTTATTTTATATATGAAAATCCAGTTGTCCTAGAACCAACTTCTTTTGTTGTTGTTGTTGCTTTGGGGTCACACCTGGCTGTGCTGGTGGATTCGGGGGGACCATATGGGATGCCTGGGATTGAACCCGGGTTGGCAGTGTGCAAGGTAAACACCCTACCTGCTGTACTATGGCTCTGGCCCCAGAACCAACTTTTGAAGAATTCTTTTCCCATTGAGTGAACTTGATGCTCTTTTCAGTAATGAAAATAGGCCTTGGGCCTCTCATTGTCTGTAATCTGTATTGTAAACCATAATACCCATAAGTAGAAGAGGGAGCCAGAGGGCAATTGTCTGCCATAGAAGCAGGGGGAAGGGGGGAGTGATACTGGGGACATTGGTGGTGGAAAATGTACACTGGTGGAGGGATGGGTGTTCTATCATTGTATGACTGAAACTCAAACATGAAAGCTTTGTAACTGTAGCTCACAGTGATTCAGTAATAAATAAATAAATAAATAAGTAAAGTAAGTAAAGTAAAGGCCCTCCCGTTGATCATTGATTTGCTCGAGCGGGCCCAGTAACGTCTCCATTGGAGACTTTGTTGTTACTGTGTCTGGCATATCGAATACTCTCGGTAGCTTGCCGGGCTCTCCGAGAGGGGCGGAGGAATTGAACTCGGGTCGGCCATGTTGGCCGCTTGTAAGGCAAACGCCCTACCGCTGTACTATCGCTCCAGCCCTTTATTTATTTATTTATTAAATAAATAAATAAATAAAAACAGAAATTTGGGGAAAAAAAAGAAAATAGGGGCCGGAGTGATAGTACAACGGGTAAGGCTTGCATTCGCCTGACTGGGGCTTGGTCCCCAGCATCTCATATGGTCCCCCAAAGCACCGCCAGGAGTAATTCCTGAGTGCAGAGCCAGGAATAACCCTTGAGCATCGTTAGGTGTGTTAGGTGTGACCCAAAAAGAAAAAAAAAAAGGAAAAGGAAAAAATAGGCCTTGAAATCTAGGGATAGTTCAGTGACAAACGTGCTGTGTTCACAAGTCTGGGACCACTGAGGCCACAAGGTCGATCCGTGGCACTGTCCGATGTGCCGAGTTGCCGTCTCCATGGTGTCTTAGTTATTTGGAATCCCTGGCACCACAACAGGGCATATATGCTCTGGACTACAGCTCTGAACAAGCACTGTGTCTGAGTGTGTGTGATCTCCAACCATCACGACCACCAAAAAAGGAGCGTGGAATGGGGCTGGAGAGATAGTACAATGAGTAGGGTGTTTGCCTTGCATGTGGGAGTTTCGAGTTCAATTCCCTGCTTCCAATATGGTGCCCTGAGCACTGCCAGGAGTAGTTCCTGAGTGCAGGGCCAGGAGTAATCACTGAACACTGCTGGGTGTGATCTCCAAACAAACAAAACAAAAGAAAGGAAGGTGAATACATAAAATAAGTTGAAAATTCTTATTTAATTTTGGATAGAGAAATACTACATGGTACTCCAAGCACAACCCAGAGAGATGCCTCCAAGCAGGGAGCAGCCCCTGAGCACTGCTGGGGGTGGCCCAGATTCACTCCTCACAGAAAACTCCTACAGTCATGCCTCACAGTATGTTTACTACTACATTTCTGGGGTGTATCTTGAAATGTAAATTTTTTGTCATTCTTTTTCAGGATTGTTTTGCTATTGTTTTGGACTTGCAAGTCCACACAAATTTACTTTTTCTTTCTGAGTTTGAGGGATCAAACTCAGGGTCTTGCACATATAAGGCAAATACTCTACCATTTTATTTTGTTTTGTTTTGGGACCACACCTGGCAATGCTCAGGAGTTATTCCTGGCTCTGCCCTCAGGAATTATTCCTGGTCTTGCTTGGGGACCATATGAGATGCTGGGCACCTTACCCACTGTTCTGTCACTTCGGCCTCTATTCTACCATTTTTTGAGATTTTTTTTTCTTTTTGGGTCCTCTTGGCGATGCACAGGGGTTACTCCTGGCTCTCCATTCAGGAATTACCCCTGGCAGTGCTCAGGGGACCATATGGGATGCTGGGAATCGAACCTGGGTCGGCCGTGTGCAAGGCTAACGTCCTACCCGCTGTGCTATTGCTCTAGCCCCCATTTTTTGAGATTTTTGAGACTGCCTTCTCCACGTGAATTTGAGGATTGGCATTTCCATCTCTGTAAGAAATTCTGTCGGCATTTTTATAGGGCACAGTGGCCTTTATTCAGAAAATGTGCACAATCAGATGTTCTCAGGGCTTATTCCTGGCTCTGCTCAGGGCTCACTTCCTGGCTGGGCTCAGGGACTATACTCAGGATCCAACAGGGGTCAGTCAGTCATGTGCAAACTAAGCACCTTACTGGCTGTACTATCTCTGGCTTTGGAGGGTTTTGGTTTGTTTTGGGGCCACACCCAGTGAAGCTCAGGGGCTACTCAGGTTATGCACTCAGGAATTACTCCTGGTAGTGTTCAGGGACCCTATGGATGCCATGGATAGAACCTGGGTCAGCCACATGCAAGGCTAGCATCCTACCTGCTCTATATTGCTCTGACCCTGCAGGTTTTAATTGAGTCACACTGGCTGAGAATCAGGGAACCAAGTGGTGCCAGGGGTTACAACCATGACTTTTAATGAAAAACATGTACTCAGCCCTTTGAATCTTCTCCCCAGTTTTAAGTAGGAGATTGGGACAAGAGATGCTCGGGGGTGGGGCACGAGCAGTGCCCCAGGAATTGGCTCCCATATGCTAGACATCCACTCTACCATTTTTTATTTGTTTTTGGGTCACACTTGGCAGTGCTTAGGCTTACTCCTGGGCTATATTCAGGGCTTACTCCTGGCGGGGCTCAGGGGATCTTAGGGTGCTGGGGATTGAACTAGGGTCAGCCATGTGCAAGGCAAATGCCTTACCTGCAGTACTTTCTCTCTGTCCATCCACCCAAACCCTCTTAGCACCCCCTTGAATGCACTCCTATTCCTTCTGTGGTGTCCCCAAGGGCCTGAGGGCTTATCCAGTGCTAAGGTGAACCCTTAACACTGTTGCCAAAAGCCCTCAGGGATGCTGAGCCCTCTCCAGAGCACATCCTCTGGGACCCACACCTGCAAAAAGGTCGAGGCTAGGGCAGCACTGAGTTCAGAGCAGGAGTCCCTCTGGGCAGGAATGCTTCCCTTGGCCCCTGACCCATGGGGAAAAGTGTCCTTCCTACACGGCATGGACAAATGACGAGCTGGGAGCTAAGCCTAGTTGCCTGGTTTTAAAGCAGGGCAGGGTGATGGCCTGGGATGATATTGCATTGACTGCTTTTTGTGGTAGGTGACCCATCCATGTCTGCACCTCACCAGTCCTGACACGCCCAGGGCCAGCAGAGGCCCCCAACATCATCCATATTGCTCTGACCCTTGCAGGTTTTAATTGAGTCACACTGGTTGAGATTCAGGGAACCAAGTGGGACTAGGGGTTATGCCCATGACTTCTAATGCAAAACAGGTAATCAGCCCAACAATATAGAGCAGCATCCAGTGTCTGCTCTTCCCCAGGGAGGTGCAGGCTGTATTCACTCCAGTAGGGCCTGCATCTGCCTGACATGAAGGCCCCACTGAATCCCTCCTTTCATTCTGCACCCAGCTGGCCGCTTCAGAGCTCTGCACAGAGGTCTTGCTGTTTAGCGCAGCTGCTTCCAGCTCATGATTCATGGTCAAGTGTGCGGGCAAGCCCAGTGGCAGGTCCCTGGAACAGCCACATCAGGCGACCCTTGAGCCTAGGAGATGTTGCAGATGGCAGGTGCTTGGTCCCTGCTGAGCCAGCGCCCACACGGATTGCAGGATGAAATCGGCTTAGCCTCAGGGACCGAAGATTTCTGCGAGGAGCCCTGCTCCTGACACCGGGTGGGGGTGTGGGTGGGGGTGGGGTGGAGGTTCCTTCAGGCCTGAACCCGCAGTTGCTCTTCCACATTCTTTTTTTTTTTTTTTTTTAACCCTTCCACATTCTTTTCCAGCCCAAATCCTTATCTGGGCCCTGGCAGATCATTTCAGGACAACGTCCAAGGATTCAGGCCCCTCGGGGAGAGCGGAGCCGCTTCCCGACAGCCCTTCCATCCCCATTTTGTCATTTTTTGGGTGGCTGTTGTCGTCTGATTTGGGGCCACACCGGCGGCGCTCAGGGTTTAACTGCTGGCTCTGCGCTCAGGGCATCACTCCTGGCCGGTGTCTGCGCGCGGGGCGGGGGGACCATATGGGATGCCAGGCATCGAACCTGGGTCGGCCCCGTGCAAGGGAAAAGCCCCGCAGGTGTCCCCTCGCTCCCAGTGCGTTCCTTCTCTGCATCACACCGAATGTGCCTGCTGAGTGCCCGGAGAGCAAGGGTGTGCGCGCGCGCGGGGGGCGTGCCTCCGGTCCCTTGGCGATCCAGAAGGGGCGTGGGCCACGTCGGTCAGGGCTCGGGGCGCCCGCGGGTGGGCGGGGGGTTAAGGAACTGGGTTCTGGAAGCCCCGCCTGCGGGGCGCGCTACGGGCGCGGGGGAGGCCGCGCTGCAACCTCCGCCGCCGCCCGGCTTTAGGATCCCTGGGAGCGGCGGACGCGCGTCTTTGCACGCGGATCCCGGTGGGGTGGCCGGGCCGTGGCCCCTCGGGACAGTCCCTGCGCCCGTGTGCGCCCCACTCTGCGCCCCCGCGCCGCGCGCCGTTGGTGCGCTCCGGGGCTTTCCCGCCCCCGACGTCACGGAGTCCCCGCGAAGCCGCGCCCCGCGGGCGACCGGCGACCATGGCGGGACCCCACGTCCCCGGCGCCCCGGCCGCCCGATGGAAACGCCACATCGTGCGGCAGCTGCGGCAGCGGGACCGCACGCAGAAGGCCCTTTTCCTGGAGCTGGTGCCGGCCTGTGAGTGCGCGCCCGGGGCTTGCCTGGCGGCGCCGGACGGCTCGGGGTCCGAACTGCGCGCGCGCGCGGGGACACGCTGGGTCCGGCGCCGCCGGGTGGACCCAGGTGCACCCGACGCCTTCCGGCTTCCGAGGCCCCGCCGGCCGGCCAGCGTTCTCGCTCTTTGCAAGCCGGGCTCGAGTCTCCGGGAGTCTGGGCGCAGGCTCTGCGCCCCTGGGTTTGCGCTTCCCTGGCTTTGTACCCCCTCCCGGGAGGTCCCCAGGGGCGAGGAACCCCAGCCCGGCCCCGAGAGCTGCTGGTCGGCCCGCCCGGGCATCGGGGGAAACTCGGAATCTCTAGGGAAGAAGTGCGCCCACAGGCCTCGCGGGGCTCAGGGTCCTGCACCTCTGAGCCCTGACCCCCCCCCCCCCAGGGAAAAGCAGTGACCCCCAGGCTGCAGCGGGGGTGCCAGATTTGCACAGAGTGGTATGTTCATAGGCAGCCGGCACGGGGCTGGGTTCAACAGGTGAACATCTGTTCCCGCTGCCCTGAGACTTCATGTCTGAGTTCAGAGTGGGGCTGGGGTCGTGCCCCCTAGGCCGCCAGCGCAGTTTAGTCACTCACTCGCCGAAGCTCAGCTGCTGGGAACTGCTGCCCCACTCCCACCCCCCCCCCCCCCCCCAGGCCCTGTCCCCATTTGCTATCCCTATCCCCGGTTTTGGGAGGTTTCACTGCAGACTTTCAGGATGAGTGTTCAGCCTGGTCCCCTCCAGGCATCTCACTTCTCTGGCCCATCCTCTTGTGGGACTCATTTGAGGGAGAAATCGGCCCCCTCACCCCAAGCAGTGGGGAGCCAGAGATCTGGGTGCAGTCCTGGGTGGGCTTCTCTGAGGTTCCGGAAGTCTCAGCTTTCTCCCTTGAGAACAGGACAAAGAGCACCTTCCTTAGCTTGGCGGTGTCCTGTATGGGGTCATCCAGTCCCTACTGGGTGAGGGAGCAAGGCCGTTCCTCACCCACCCGGGAACTGGGGGGAAAGAGGAAGTGACAGGTGGGTGAGGGTGCCACGGGGGGGCTGCATTCTAGAAACTTGCCGAACTCCAGGCGTGGGGTAATTTCTTAAGGACTATTGCCCATGCCCCTCCTCCGCCCTCCGCCTTGTTCCCAGCTGGGGAAGTCAGGATCGGTTTTTAGTCCAGAAGTTAGAGCCCAAGAGGGGAAGGAAGTTGTTGAAGGCATGACCCGGTGGAGGGGGTGTGATTACCCCTGGGGCAAGGATGAGGGGTCCTGGCACCTGCCTTCCCTCAGGACCATCCCCTGCACTGCCCAGTCTGGGAGAGCAGCCTTCTCCTGGGGCTGGTGCCCAGTATCTTTCCCCAGAACCCCTCATGTGAGAGGCAGGTGCGCCCCCTTCTGCAGCCCTCCCAGCTGGAGAGCCCCAGCCTCACCCTCTCGCACCCCCAGATAACCGTCTACTGGAGAAGGCTGCACTGCTGGCCCATGTCTCCGAGAAGCTGCAGCCGGAGCCCGAGAGCCTCCCTTCTGCCCCGCGCCCCTGGTGAGTGCATATGCCAGCGGCGGGCACCACGGCAGCCCATGCCGACCGCCTGTGCTGGCCTTCTTCGAGGGTGTCTCCAGCCTTTGCTGCTGCCCCGGGAGGGGGCTACTTGGAGAGCCTTTCTCGCCGCACCCATCCCTTTTGCTCCTCCCCTGTTCCCTTCCCTCTCTTGCTGCTGGTGCCCTGACCCGGCTTGCACCATTTCACGCGTGGCACTTTCACGTGGGCTTGTGGCTTCAGGTGTGGTACTGGCATGTGCCCACAGGGCGTCACCCCGGCGCACTGTCTGGTGGCAGTGCCCGCCAGCTGTTGCATACCCTGGTTGTGGGGGCTCACACAGGTGCTCTGGGTGTGTGTGGGGGGGCACACCGTGTGGTTTGTGGTGCTCGCACACACTGGGCTGCGTCAGTTAGAGCCAAGCAGCCAGGACTGTGGCTGGCATATGTGGAAGCCCCAGGGATCGAACTCACAGCCTCACAATGCAAGGAGGCTGCTCTAGCCTCACAACTGGCTCTAGGCACCCCCCTCCCCCCACCCACACCATGTCTTTTCTCTCTGCTCCTTCCTGAAGCCTGCAGTTGGGGTCTTTTATCCTCCCCAAGACAGGAAGTGAAGGTGAGGACCAGCCATGGGGTGGGTTATAGCTGGGAGCTGGTTCTTGGGGAGGGCTGCTTGGTACCAGGAAGCCAGGGGTGTGGGGGAGCCCCAGTGCAGAGGAAGCGGAGCCAGTGGAAGCTTCTGGAGGCTTGCTCTTTTCCCTGTTGGCCTTCTGCCTTCCTTGGAAGTTCTGGCTCTTGTTTCAGAGGTACCTGGGGAGCAGGGATGCTGAGCGCCTCTCTCTGATTGGCTGGCAGGGAGGAGGCGCTGGGGGCTGACTCAGACCAGCATCTATCACCAGCCACCCTGAGGGAGAAGTGGCAAGCGGAGGAGGAGAGGCTCCGGCTGGTGTGTGGTGAGGTAGGTGGGGGTCAGGATCCAGGACTGTGGGGTGTGAAGTGTGGTCTTAGGGAGCCTGAATGGGGCCTGGGGAGATGCTCAGCGCTCCCCTGGGCTCCCCAGGATGAAGTGGACCTTCACAGCAGCTGTAGGAGGGGTCGTGGGAGCCGGGGGTGGGGGGGGAGTGAGTGTGGGGAAGCCTGTACCCCCATGGGAGAGTCAGTCTGCTTGCCCTCTGCCCGCCCCCACCTCCAAGGGGGTGTGCCACCTTACCCCTCTTCCCCCACCCCCCCACACACTGTGGGACCCAGACCTGTGTCTCCTGGCTTGGTCTTGTCGCGTTTTCTTGGTGTTTCTCTCATGTATGAAGCTTCTGAATTCTCTTCTTTGGCTCTTGTCCCCTTCCCTTCCCTTTATTTTTATTTTTGCTTTTTGGGTCACATTCAGTGATGCTCAGGGTTACTCCTGGCTCTGCATTCAGGAATTACTTGGGGTAACTCCAGGCGGTGCTAGGGGGACCTGATGGGATGTGGGGATTGAACCCAGGTTGGCCGTGTGCAAGGCAAATACCCTACCCACTGTACTATCACTCCGACCCCTAGTCCTGTTCCCTTTAGATGGGGACTGGTGTGTCCCTTGGAGCCTGGAGGGGTCCGCCGTCCCTCTGACTGCCATCGAACCCAGCTTCCTTTCTGAGCTCCACCCTTATGCACTGAGCCATCCTTCAGGTGACATCTTGGGCACTTAAGAGGTGACCCCTGAAGACACTGTCATTCTGGGTGCCAGACGGGAAGCCAGGGCGGCCCAGGTGCTGAGCACGTGCTCTCCTCTCCATGCCTAGAATTTCATTTCAGCGTGTCCTCGACAACTTCCTGGTTTCCAACCAGGAAACCAAGACTTGGAAAGCTGAGCCAGGATTTGAATGCCTCCCACACAAAACCACCTCCGGTCCACTGCCACTCACGTTCAACAACTGCTTGCGGCACTCATCCCAGGCGCAGGGGACGCAGCAGTGAGTGAGACCTGGCTCCATGGAGCATCCAGGCCCCACAGAGACCGTCACAGTGTGCCCAGTCAGCAGCCCGCTAGCGTGGGGACCGGGGATCTCAGGGAGAACCCCAGCCCTGCCGTAGTGGAGATCCGACTTCTGTGAGGGAATTCCAACATCCCAGCTCACTCAGGGCTTGGGTGCCCCAAGGCCTGGGGTGCCTTTGGCTTAGCTGCCATGGTAACTTGGGGTGTGGGGGGGGACTGTCTCCACAGTTCATGCTAACAAATATCTCGATGGTGTTTAGTGCGGTTGGCGCCTCTAGTAGTCACGGAACTAGAAACCAGGGGCACCTCTGACCCCTCCTATCCCTCCATCCTGAGCTAGTCTACTTATGTGGCTCCTGCCTCAGAATCCTCCAGCTTCTCTTTCCTGGGCCATATTTGGCCTAATCCTGGTTACACTCATTCCTTTCATGGATGACTGCTCTCTTGGGGCCCCAGTCCACTCTCCATACCACACTGAGTTTGCTTTTATTTTGTCTCTTTGGCTCTGGGGCTACTCCTGTCCCTGTGCTCGCGGGTTACACCTAGTGATGTTCAGGGGATCAAACTGGGATGGGCCACATACAAGGTGGCCTTAACCCCGATAGCATCTTGCTAGCCCTAAAGGTGTTTGTTTTTTTTTTCTTTTTGAATCACACCCGGTGATGCACAGGGGTTACTCCTGGCTCTGCACTCAGGAGTTACTCCTGGCGGTGCTCAGGGGACCATACGGGATGCTGGGAATCGAACCTGGGTTGGCCGTGTGCAAGGAAAATGCCCTACCCACTGTACTATCGCTCCAGCCCCGTGAAGGTGGTTTTGATAATGAAAATGATCTCCATTAAAAAGAAGTAGCCAAGGGGCTGGAGAGATAGCACAGCGGGTAGGGTGTTTGCCTTGCACGCGGATAACCCAGGATTCCCAGCATCCCATATGGCCCCCTGAGCACCGCCAGGAGCAACTCCTGAGTGCAGAGCCAGGAGTAACCCCTGTGCATCACCGGGTGTGACCCAAAAAAGAAAAAAAAAAGAAAAAAAAGAAGTAGCCAAGTATGTGCTTGCTGTGGGCATGTCAAGAGAACAGAAGCCGGCAGGAAAGTCCCTCCGCTAGCTCTCCCCGTCCATCTGGGATAGCTGTTCCCAAGTTCCCGAGTCTCCCGCTTCTCCAGCTTCTGGGGGTTTTCCTGCCACACCCTTGCCTCTGGGTTCACAGTTCCCTTCGTGGGGTACTTCATGCATCCCTTGCTTCCTCGGATACACCAGTTCATTCCCATTGGGTATGCAAGGCAATATGAGGAGCAGTTTTGCCTCCAGTCTTGGAACTGTTTCGCTCTGGCAGTAAGCCTGGGTCCTTACAGTGCCCTTTTATCTGGAAGTAGTTGCAGAGCCACAGGAAGTTGCAAGCGCAGTGCAGAGAACTGCAGTTCCCTATACCTAACCCTCCATTGCAGTGTCTTCATAGGCACAGCCGCACAACTGGGGAGGCGTAAGGCCCGAGGGCAGTCTTGCCCCCCCACCCCCAGCAAGATGCAGCATGCGTCACTATCACGCACGTCACCCTCTTGCTGCCCCTTTTGGTCACAGAGCATTCCTCTCCCTGCCGAAACCTACCATGAATCAAAAAAATAAAGAGGGTCAGAGAGAGAGAAGGGGAGAGAGAGAGAGAGAGAGAGAGAGAGAGAGAGAGAGAGAGAGAGAGAGAGAGAGAGAGAGAGCAGGGCACAGGGCTTAAGGCACTTAAGCCTTGCACGTGGTCGACCTGGGGTCGACCTGGGTTTGATTCCCAACACTGCATAAGGTCCCCCAAGCCTCATCAGGAGTGATCCCTGAGCCTGGAGTCAGGACTAAGCCCTGAACACCATCTGGGTGTGGTTCTCGAAGCATCCAGGTGAAAATGCACACAGACCTGCGGGAGCTCCCTGGGGGCCCTCTCCTTCAGATCCCTAAGTTAGTTAAGCTTATCTTGGAGGTCTCCTGGCACTGGCCATTTTTGTTGTTGTTTTTGTGTTGTTTGGGGGCCATCCCAGCAGAGCTCAGAGCTTATTTCTGGCTCTATGCTCAGGGTGCATTACTGGTGGACCATAAGTGGTGCTGGGGATTGAACCCGGGTCAGCTGCGTACAAGGTAGTACTTTTAACCTTGTGCTGTTCTGTCTCTCAGGTCCCAGCTTTTGGCTGAAGGACTATTGAGTGACATAGGGGACAGATGAAGTGACCCTCAGCCCCTTTCTTGGGCAGAGGCGACTCCAGAATGCATCTGGACCCTTTGCTTCCACATCCATTCCATTCTGCTGTAAGCCTGTATGTCTCTGGACACAAGGAGGTTGGGCTCCTTGTTGCTCTTGGGGGGTCTAAGTTTGGGTGGGCCAGGGACCGAAGAGGTGGGGGACATAGTGCCCCCCACTTTCTGTTCAGTGTCCTGGCTTCAGTCAGCACTGCCACTTTCCTGTCCCAGTAATTTTGGGAGAGCCTCCTAACTTTTTTTTTTTTTCGCTTTTTGGGTCATACCCGGCATTGCACAGGGAACCATATGGGATGCTGGGAATCAAACCCATGTCAGCCACGTGCAAGGCAAACGCCATACCCTCTGTGCTATCGCTCCAGCCCCTAAGCCTCTTAACCTTTTTACATCCTTGTTCTTGTCTATAAAATGGGGTGAACAGCAACACCTGCCTCATGATGGTGGTAGTTTTTTTTTTCTTTTTGGGTCACACCTGGCGATGCACAGGGGTTACTCCTGGCTCTGCACTTAGGAATTACTCCTGGCGGTGCTCAGGGGACCATATGGGATGCTGGGAATTGAACCTGGGTCAGCTGCGTGCAAGGCAAATGCCCTGCCCACTGTGCTATCACTCCAGCACCGGTGGTAGGTTTTTTTTTTTTTTTTAAAAAAATACCTTATGGTACTGGACAGACAGAACACTGGGTAGGGCATTTGCCTGGTGCATGGTGACTCAGGTTCGATCCTCTGTGCTTGGTCTCCCGATCACTGCCGGTAGTAACTCCTGAGTGCAGAGCCAGGAGTAAGCCCTGAGCATCTCTGGAGCACTGTTTTGCAAACAAGAGCCCGAGAGTCCTGCTGGGAGAAGACCCTGAGTGCTGCAGATTGTCCGGCCGGCCCCCCCCGCCCCCCCCCCAGTGCCCCAAGAAGATCAGGCTGCAGTGATATAGTGCCGGGGTTAAGGGTTAAGGCACTTGCCTTTTAAGCAGCAGACTCTGGTTCCTTTCCCTGCCTGGCACCGCATATGATTACCTGGGCACCTCGAGTGACCACTGAGCTCACTGAGCACTGAGCTCACCGAGCAGTGAGTGAGCAGTGAGCACTGAGCTCAGTAAGCCCTGAGTGGTCCCCAAACAGACAAAGTTTCATGTGCCAAGAGCCCCCATAAGGACAGGGCATGCATAAATGCTGTATAAATGTGTGTGTGTATTTTTAATATTTTATTTTTTAAGGGGGACGTTACATCTTGCAGTACTCAAGGGCTGTTTTACCTGGGCGCGCCAGCCCTCAGTGTTTTTGCCATTATTCAAAATCCTTATCATCCTTTCTTGTTCCCCTGCGAGGTTAGCACTGTCACTCCCAATTGACAGGCGGGAAAACGGCAGCGCGGGAGGTTGCGGAGGAAGTTAAGTGGCGAGTCAGGCTGGCGGGGCTGCAGGAACCCGCAGAGGGTCCTCGGCTCGTTCGGGAGGGGAGGCGACGGTGCGTGGCGGGCCGGGCGCGGTGTGACCTCGCGCCCCGGGGTGGCCCCTCCCCAGATGGCCTACCAGGTGGTGGAGAAGCGCGCGGCGCTGGGCGCCCTGGAGTCGGAGCTGCAGGAGCGGCGGGACACGTGAGGCGGGGCGGGCCGGGCTCCCACGCGGGGCTGGGGCTGGGGCGGGGTCCGGGGAGACGGACGCCGGCGGACGGTGACCGCCGCGCCCTCGGCTCCCCCAGGCTGGCGGCCCTGGAGGCGCGCGCGGCGCAGCTGCGGGAGGCGCGCGCTCAGCACCGCGGGCAGGTGGCGGCGCGCCGGGCGCGCAACGAGGAGCAGCGCGCGGCCTACGAGGAGCTGCGCGCGCGCGCCGGGCTGCAGGAGGCCGCGCTGCGCGGGCTCGAGGAGGAGGCGCGCGAGCTGCTGGAGCGCCTGGTGCAGCGCAAGGCGCGCGCCGCGGCCGAGCGCAACCTGCGCAACGAGCGCCGCGAGAGGTGCGGGCGCGGCCGGCGGCGGGAGGAGGGAGGCCGGCCCTCGCCTGGGCCCCGACGAGGGCCGGCCCCGACGCCTTTCTCCCCGCAGGGCCAAGCAGACGCGCGTGTCCCAGGAGCTGAGAAAGGCCGCCAAGCGGACCGTGAGCATCAGCGAGTAAGCACGGGCCGCGCGCTGCCACCTCCCTGCCGGAGTCTTCTCCGCCTCGTGCTTTCAGGCCTCCGTTTTCATCTCCCCTGCCCACTCCGGGACATCGGGGATCAGACTTCATAGTTGCAGGGCCAGGAGTGACGCCCCCCTCCCCCCGCCCCCTGCACCTGGCCGCGCGGACCCCGGAGCCCCGCGTAGTCCCAGCCCACAGGACACCTTTGCCACGCGGAGCGCGGCGCAGGGAGGAGGCGGTCTGACTTTTGTGCCTTCCTGAGCACCTTTTCCTCTCCTAGGAACCCCGAACCCCCCGACTCCCCAGGCGATGGGGTCAGGGAGGCAGCCAGGAGTGTGGCCCCGGCCGTGCAGCCCCAACCCCGGGAAAGAGAGGCTGGGGAGACGCGGAGGAGACCCTTTAGGTGAGCGCTGGCCTGCGCGCCCCATCCGAGGCTGCCTGTAGGACCCAGGACAGCTAATGAGTTGGGGTCCGCATCAGACCCCCTCCCCCAAGCCCAGGTCGTCTGCTTTGTAGTCCCTAGCGTTGCGGAGGATCAGTGCCTGCCAGGGACCCCAGATGGCAAACCCACCCCTTTCCTTCCCGAGACTAGCGGAGCTGCGAGGTGCCCGTTAAGGGGGTTGGAAAGCGTCGCCGGAGGAGTTGAGGCGCCCTCTGCTGGGCATCTGGAGTTTGAGATTTCCCACCGGCCGCTCTCCCTATCCCAGCCAGGGGCCACCCGTATCCCTCTGGTCCCCACACATTTTATCCTCCTGGGACTTTCTTTGGGGGAGCGCTTGGGGGATGAGGCAGATCCAGCCATCGCGGTGGACACTTCTGGACTCCACCTTTCTGGCGTGCTCTGGGCCACCGCGCTGTCCTGATCTGGGAGTCAAGTTCCTGTCAAGAGGCCGTGAGCCTCAGGGGTCCCTGGTGGAGGGTCCCGCCTGCAGCTCTGTTTGATTCCGCTCAGGTCAGCCTCCGCCACGTCCCTGATGCTGTCCCGCTGTGTAGGTGTGGTGAAGGGCCTTGTGGAGTAAGTGCGGCCTGTGGCAGCCCCTGGGCCGGGCTTGGTCTGTGTGCGCCTCTGTCCACGTGCTGCCTGGCTGCTGGGCCTGGGTGGGGCTGAGAAGTAGGGCACTTGCCCCCGCACGGCACCGGTGAGGCCCTGGGTGCCTTCCCGGGCATCCCGAAGAAGGAACAAGACCCAGCGAGAAAGCAAAGCTCCGGAGTCTCCCGGTTGTGTGTGTGGGCTGGTGCTGAGCTGGAGGCTGGGGCTGCAGGGGGTAGGCCTGGCACCCCTCCAGGCTCACCCCCGAGCGCTGCCTGAGACCTCCTAGGACCTGCCTGCCCGCTCTGGGACATCGGGGATCAGACTTCATAGTCGCAGGGCCAGGAGTGATGCCCCCTTCTGTGTCTGTCTGTCCTTGTCCTGCCTTAGTCCCTGTCTCTGAGACCTCCTCCTTGGGGGGGCGGGGGGTGCTCGCTGCACTTCCAGGCCACGTTCTGTTCCTGTGTCTGCCCTTGGGGCTTCCTGTCAGAGGTGGGAGCTGAATGCTCTCCTGCGTCCCCCTTTGCCCTCAGCTTCAAGAAAAGGAGAGGCCACTCCATTGGGGGCGCACCCGAGCAGTGCTACCAGAGCCTCCCCGTGTGCGTGGTCGCCCAGCTCCCTACCTGGGCCCAGGATGTGAGGGTAAGGGTGTCCCGGCCACAGCCCTGGGCTGTGAGGGGGAGCTCACGCCCCGTGGAAGGGGAGGGATCGAGGCGGCAGCCCTTAGTGCGGTTCCTTCCACACGTGTGGGAGCCACGTGGCATGGTCTAGCGGGATGGCCTGGAGAGGGTGAGAGGGGGGCAGCATGGGTGGGTGTGAGGGGACAGCAGAGGCACGGTGCTCAGTGGACCCCGAGTTTGCACAGACACCGGCCATAGCACCCCGTCCCCGCAGGATGCCCACCTGTCGGAAGTGAATGCCGTCCGCTTCGGTCCCCACAGCAGCCTCCTGGCCACCGGCGGGGCCGACTGCCTCATCCACCTCTGGAACGTGGTTGGCGGTAAGGATCAGCCCCACAGCCAGGGCCCCCCCCCAACCTCCCCTCCCCCACTTCCATTCCTCCCAGAACATCTTGGGGCTGCTCTGTCACTGCTCTGATGGTGGCTGGCCACCAGCCCCAGGGGTCCCGACCCGCAGGGTGTGGAGCGCTGAGCTCAGATGGCTCCTGTTGGAGGGAAGGCAGGGGGCCATAGCACGAGGTTGTACAGGTTCTGGAGAAGCAGGTCCCTGAGATCTGCCGGGCCACCTCCTCAGCCCGCATCCCTGGAACCTTCAGATTGAGTTAATCTCATCCAGATTAACTGCCCTGTGCTCGGGAGGAGGGTGGGTGGTGGGGAGTCTAGTTGGCTCCTGGAGGCTTCCTGGAGGCTTCCTGGAGGAGGAGAGTGTCCTGCTGGCCCAGCTCCCGCTGCAGCCCGTCTGTCCTGGTGCCCCCTGCTGGCATTTTAGGAAGGTGCGACCTCCCACCCAGACTCACTTCCTGCCTGTAGTGTCAGGGGGTGCCCCAGTTCTAGCTTCTCCTTTCAGGGGGTTGGTGACCTTCCACTGGGCCATCCCCTGCCCCTAGGTCGCCTGGAGGCCAACCAGACTCTGGAGGGGGCTGGCGGCAGCATCACCAGTGTGGACTTCGATCCCTCGGTGAGGGGCGCCCGGCCCTGCCCAGTCCCAGCTGGGTGGGTGTGGGGTTCGTAAGTCCTCTGGGTTCGTAATGGGCCTCCGGGGGGTGACCCTTCCCCAGGGCTCTGGTCAGGCCAGGCCTGGGACCACCCCCTTTCTGCTCCCCTCCCCAGGGCGCCCAGGTCCTAGCAGCCACTTACAATCAGGCCGCCCAGCTCTGGATGGTCGGGGAGTCACAGTCCAAGGTGAGCCCTCGCTGACGAGGGTGGGGGGGCTGGATAGGCTTTCAGGGCTCTGGGCCATGCCCTTGACCCATCCCTGGGTGGGGACAGGAGACACTGTCCGGACACACAGACAAGGTGACAGCCGCCAGATTCAAGCTCACGAGGCACCAGGCGGTGACGGGCAGCCGCGACCGGACTGTGAAGGAGTGGGACCTGCACCGTGCCTGCTGTGAGCCCCAGGCTGTACCACAGGGCGTGTGGGGTGACACCTCCCGGGGGTCTGCCCCACCTTGGGGCCCTCTGTGTGGCCTCAAGCTGTGGGCAGGGTGCTGCTAGTTTGGGGGTGGCGGGTGCCCCGTGGGTGAGTCTCAGCCCTGCTCTGAACCTGTCCTTGTCCCCAGGCTCCAGGACCATCCAGGTCCTTTCCTACTGCAACGACGTGGTGTGCGGGGAGCACGTCATCATCAGCGGCCACAATGACCAGAAGATCCGCTTCTGGGACAGCAGGTGAGGGCCTGGGCCTGGGGGTGCGCGGGGAAGCTGGACGGGCTCCCCTTGAGGAAGCAGTCCTGGGAGTGACTCTGGGTCGCTGCTGGATGCCTAGCCCACGCCTCCTGGGAGGAGCCCCTTTGCCTACTCCGTCAGTACTTTTCAACTGCCAGAATCAAAAGTGTTAGTTCATTATTAGTTCTTGCTTTTCTTTTTTTTTTTTTAATTATTTTGGGGGCTGGAGCGATAGCACAACGGGGAGGGTGTTTGCCTTGCATGTGGCTGACCCGGGTTTGATTCCCAGCATCCCACACGGTGCCCTGAGCACCGCCAGGAGTAATTCCTGAGTGCATGAGCCAGGAGTAAACCCTGTGCCTCGCCGGGTGTGACGCTCCCCCAAAAAGTTATTTTGGGGCCGCAGTACACAGGGCAGTACACAGGGCTGACTCCTGGCTTTGTGCTCAGGGATCACTCCTGGCAGAGCTCAGGGGACCCTAAGGGGTGCTGGGGAACGAACCCGGGTCTGCCACATGCAAGACAAGTGCCCTGCTGCTCTACTATCACTCCAGCCCAGCTCTTCCTTTTTCAAATTTTTTAAATTTTGTTGTCTGGATGGAGCCCTGGGCCTCCTCCATGCAAGGCGAGTGCTGCCTGTACCCCTGGCCCTGCCCCCTGCCCCGGGGGCCCCGGCCCTGCCTCTCCATGAGGCTGTGGAGCCTGAGGACTGAAGCAGCCCATTCCGCGTTGCCCGCTGGCTCTCCTCACTGCCCTGCAGTGACCACCGGCCGCACTGGGCTTAGCTCGTCTGTTTGGAGGGAACCCACACTGGCAGTGTTTGGGACCATGGGGCGCTGGACCTGGGTCCGTGCTCTCTGGCCTTCTCGGTCGTCACCCTGGCCCCCGGGACCCCTTTGCTTTCTCTTCTCCAGTTCTACTCATCCGCAGCTCCCCCTACCCGCACTTCTGTGACCCGCAGGCTGCTCTGGCCTCGAGTCCTGGCAGCCAGAGGTTCCTGTTCCCCCCACTGGGCCCTCCTCACCGCCTCTGTGTCTCCACCCTCAGGGGGCCGCGCTGCACCCAGGTCATCCCCATGCAGGGCCGGGTCACCTCCCTGAGTCTCAGCCAGGACCAGCTGCATCTGCTCAGCTGTTCCCGCGACGACACGCTCAAGGTCATCGACCTGCGCGCCAGCAACATCCGCCAGGTGTTCAGGTACCTCCCCAGCAGCTGGGCCTGCCCGGGGCCGAGGGCCAGGCCTGACCCCCGTCCTGTCTGTCTCCAGGGCCGACGGCTTCAGGTGTGCATCTGACTGGACCAAAGCTGTGTTCAGGTGTGTCTCTGGGGGGTGGCACCTTGGCCTGGGCACCCCCTGTGCCAGGTCCCTGTCCTTACCCTGCTTGCTCTGCGCTGACCCCGGCAGCCCTGACAGACACTATGCTGTGGCCGGCTCTGGGGACGGAGCCCTCTACATCTGGGATGTTGACACGGGCAAGCTACAGAGCAGCTTGCGGGGACCCCACTGGTGAGCACGATCAGCCCACCCTTCCCCACACCACCCCCCCCCGACCCGGGAGCCAGGAGGGAGGGCAGGAGGCAAGCTGACTCCTGATGCCCTCGACCCGCTGCTCCTCAGCTCTGCCATCAACGCTGTGGCCTGGTGCTGCTCCGGGGGCTACGTGGTGAGCGTGGACCAGGCCAGGAAGGTGGTGCTCTGGAGCTAGGACCGCGAGCCGCCTCGCTTGATGCCCAGGCCCCGGGGAGTGGCCCCTGCTCTAGGGGGGGCCCCCTTGGGGCACTCGAAGGCCTGGCAGGACCTGGCCCGTTTGTTCAAAGACTCAGTGTGGGTTGGGGGGGGCGACAGTTTTTTTTTTTTTTAAATACCTCCTCAAAATCTCTCCCTTAGAAGTGAAAAAGAAATTGCATCCAAACTGGCGTCTGTTTGTCTCTCTGCAGAGTGTGGGGAACAGGCTCTGGGACCCTCCTCCACCAGAAGCCGGGCTATGCAGGCAGCATGCAGCTGGTGGGGTCCTGGGAAGCCCCTCCTGATGGCCGAGGGTGTCCCCGGCCACCACACATGCCGGTCCTCAGCGTCAGGCTCCCTGGCTAGACTGAGGTGGAGGCAGGGCTGTGGGGCTGAGAAGGGCCTGGGGAGAAGCCTGGGAGGGTCCTGGCCAGCCAGGTGGGCTGTCCAGTGCAGGGGACTCCACTGCAATGTCCACTGGCAGCTTTCTTATAGACCTAGAGAGGGTGGCGTGGCCTCTGGGTGGCTGTTAGGGTGGGAGGGGGTTTCCTGGAGTCCACTTCAGAGTATCGGGTATTGGGTAGCCCCTCAGCCCCGGAGGGCCGCAGAGGAGCGTGGGTTCTTCTGGGTGAGACCCCAGGGCCTCACTCTAGAACTCCCATCTCCTTTGGGGGCCTTTCCTGTCTGGGGTTTGCAGTTCAGTTCCAGGATGGGCTGCAGGAAGTGTGTGGTGGGGAATTGAGCCGCACCCTTTGGTAGTAGAGTTTTAGGAACCCCTCCCCTCCTTGGTGCTAAGGGGTTGCTCCTGGCTTGGTGCTCCCAAGTCGTTCCCCATGTTGCTTAGAGAACCAGGTGTTACTGGGGATCAAACTCCTACATGCAAAACCTGTGTGATCTCACGTGTTGAACTCTTCCCCTGGCCCTGAGTTGATTTTTTTTGGGGGGTGGGGTGGGGGCATTTTGGGTCACACCCAGCAATGCTCAGGGCTTACTCCTGGCTCTGCACTCAGGGATCACTCCTGGCAGGCTCGGGGGCCGTATGGGACGCTGGGGATAGGACCCAGGTCAGCCACGAGCAAAGCAAATTCCTTACCCGCTGTACCCTCTTCCTCGCCAAGAGTGGATGTCTCTGCTTCCCTTCCAGCCTTTGTAAACAGGATAACGTCAGTATCCCCCTTAAAGGTGGCGGCAAAGGCCCGGTGCATTCACATTTCTAGAGCTGGCCAGAGGCCTCACAAAGTGTTGGTGAAAAGACCCGGATCCATGCCCTGCCAACCCCCATGTGTGACACGCTGCCCTCTCCTTCCATGCCGCATTCTCCAGCACCAAGCCTGGGGTGATCTCTCCATCCCTGCCCCACCCCACACAGGCTGCCGCCTCCTCGCCTTGCTACGGTCCCAGCTGCTCTTTAATGCGGCCAGTGTGACTTTCAGATGGGCCCGTTCACACGCCCGCAGCCCCTGCTGCCTCGGTTGCTTCTGCCTCTTCCTGCTTTCTGAACACATCCCATGAGGCATGTTCCCTCCACCTGGAACCTTCTTGCCCCTCAGCTCCCAACTCACCTTCCGGATTCGCAGGCAGGCTGTGTGTAAGGGCCCTTCTTGGCCCTGTGTGCCCTTCGGGGTGTCCACTGCCCTCTGCTGGCACCAGGGAGCTCTTGGGAGAGGCACAGGTGGGAGTGAAGTATCCCCCTGCCAGGGAATGGCACCGAGAAAGCCCCAGAAAATGCTCATCACAATGGCTCAGTTCTCTTCAAGGACCTAGTAGGTCTAACAGGAGACGGGCCCTGGTGCCCCTGACCAGTCCCTGCCCTGGTACCTGCTGGCCAGAAGGAGCTGCCTGATCCCTCGGGCTTAGAGGAGTGGCATGTGCTGGGGTCACGTGTCCCCAGAGCGGGGCAGGGTGCTGTATGACTGCTTCTCCCCTCCCCCAGCCTCTCATAAAGGTCAGTGATGTTCAACCACACAGCTTCACCATCACCTACACTTCCGTTTCCGGGCCACACCCAGTGGTGCTCAGGGCTTAGTCCTGGCAACCCTGACCATATATGCAGCACCAAAGCTCGAAACTGGGAACCCTGGTTCCAGGGAAGCTGTGCCAGGCAAGCGCCTTCCCCACTGTACTCTCCACCCCACTGAAAACGTCTGGAACAAACACATCTACTCCCGACTAGGGCTGCAGGGCGCGTGGGCTCCCACCAGCTCCCAGGTGACGTGACAGGTCTAGTTTGGTGTCTAACCCACATCCCCCCTAGCAGCTTCCTGCTCCATCTGGACCCGACCCACCCCTGGCCTGGGAGGGCAGAAGCCTCTGCAGGGGCATTAGGTGCTTGGGGCCACAGGAGCGAGTGACCAGAGTCCAGCAATACCACTGGGAAGGAATCATCTAGCCCAGAGAAGGTGCTCAGGAAGGGGCCAGCTGGATCCCTGGAAAGTGACCCCTTCCCCCATGAACTTTTTTTTTTTTTTGCTTTTTGGGTCACACCCAGTGATGCACAGGGGATACTCCCGGCTCTGCACTCAGGAATTACTCCTGGCGGTGCTGGGGGACCATATGGGATGCTGGGAACTGAACCTGGGTCAACCACTTGCAAGGCAGATGCCCTACTCGCTGTGCTATCACTCCAGCCCCCCCTTTTTTTTTTTTTTTTGGTGGTGTATGTGTGTGTGTGTGTGTGTGTGTGTGTGTGTGTGTGGTGCACATCTGGCAGTGCCCAGAGCTTACTCCTGGCTCTGCACTTAGAAATTACTCCTGGCAGTGCTTGGGGGTCCACGGGGGACACTGGAGATTGAACCTGGGTCGACAGAGTGTGACCCAGGAACCCCCACTGTCCTGGGTCACTACCCCCATTCTTGGAGATATGCTTGGGTTCCCGGGGGTGAGGTCTCAGTCACCCAGTCTGTGGCCTGTGCCCCAGGGACACAAGTGTGCCTGAGAGCTGCTGAGTGATCAGGGTTTCTTGCCCCTTGTCAGGACCTCTGGAGGATCTCTGGGGGCACCAGGTGACCCCCCTCCACCCCTGTTGGATAACATTGGCTTGTCCTTGCTCCCTCCAACTCCAGGGAGCCTAACGTTTATTGAGCCACTCCCACAACCGTGTCCCTGAGGCACATCCAATTCCATCAGTCACTAATAATCTTCTATTGCTTTTCTCTTTCCTTTATGTCATTTCATGGTTTCTTTAGCAATGTCCTTTTTGTATAGACACAGGAAGGCAGTTCATGCTACGCTTTGTAACATGGGAGTTAACTGACTCCAAAATAATATTAATTCCTGGGCATCCATATTTACTTGACTTTAAGCTTCAGTTGCCCTTAGTTCCTAGCATTCCAAAAGCAGGGGCCCAACGAAGGGGCTGGATGGACACGGGGCAAGCTGTAAGCTACCCTGGCATTGAAAGGGGACAAACTAAGCGCCATAAGTATAATAAGTTAAGAGCACGGTCATCCACAGAAAGATTGCATTCATCTGGGGAACATAAAGCAACAAAACGAGAGACTAACGAATGGCTGAGATTAGTACCAGGAATTTTGCTCCATGACTTGAAGGCCAGCCACACGTGCTAGGTGAAAAGGAAGCTCAGAGAAGAGAGCACCAGATACAGAGTGTTGTGAGGATCCTCCCAGGGTGGGAGAATCATGCTGAAAGTAGTCTATAGACCAAACATGATCGCCACTCAATGCCTCTCTGGCAAAACACAGGACCCAAAAGAAGAGAGAGAGAACATGGGGGAATGCCCTGCCACAGAGGCAGGGTGGGACGGGAGGATGGGGGGTGGGAGGGATGCTGGGACCCGTGGTGGTGGAGGATGGGCACTGGTGGAGGGATGGGTACTTGATCATTGTATAACTAAAACCCAAGCACAAAAATTTTTAAGTCTACAACTGTACCTCATGGTGTTTCACTAATAAAAAAAATTAAATTAGAAAAAAAAAGAGCACGGTCATGGACAAACTCTGTCATGATCTGAAAAAAAGTAATTGAATAAGAATCCTGCTGGGGTTAGGAAAGACTAACCTGGCCTGAAGACTGTGGTCTGAATATACAGCAAGATGTCCCCAGGAAGAGCCAGTCTTTAAGCTTAAAATATCTCTTACTGTGTTCATACAAAATGACATTGCTAGAAATATTATGAGAAGTAAATTTGCTATGATTATTTAAATGAATTACTAGCTGAGGAAAGGAGAAAGCAACTCAGCCCGCATAGAATCCCGCCCCTGAGCGGATCTCCTAGTAATCTGGAGTGCTGATCCTTTAGATGAGATTTTGACCTTGAGTTAATCTCCTGGAACTTCCCCAGAAGGAGTGGCTTTACCTCTGTTTGTTGTTACAACAATGTTCAAACCCACCTTTGTGTATCCCCACCCTTCACAATTTCTATATAACTACGCTGTAATGGGTAAGAGGGGATTAGAGGATGACAACTGAGACTTTGGAGATTTTAGAACTTTGAGTACTAGAAGGGCTGGAGTGATAGCACAGCAGTAGGGCGTTTGCCTTGCACGCAGCCAACATGGCCGACCCGAGTTCGATTCCTCCGCCCCTCTCGGAGAGCCTGGCAAGTTACCGAGAGTATCTCGCCCGCACGGCAGAGCCTGGCAAGCCACCCGTGATGTATTCGATATGCCAAACACAGTAACAAGTCTCATGATGGAGATGTTACTGGGCCCGCTCGAGTACTAGAAGGAGGACTAGATGACGATGATGACTGGAAGTAGAGACTATGAGACTACAATGAGAAAACAAGGAAGGAGATAATGAAGGAGAGGATTTTGAGGTCTACCAGAAGACTAGGGATGATGGAACTATGATTACAGGGGCTACGACCGCCGTAAGGGGAGATTGGACTACGCAGGGGAGGAGAAAGAAATAAACTGTCTACTGACCAGCATGGGACCCAGGCCCAGTTTGTCCGTTCTCCCAGTTCCTCTTCTGTCTGCTGCTGTGGGGTCAGCCAGGGGAGGCGGCTCTCAGCCACCAAATGCTTGAGTTCCCCTCCAACCCCCCCCCAACCTGCCTCAACAAACAGCAGCTCATCACAAATGTGTCTGGTTTCTCTGCACATGGCCTGAATCGGGCCTCCTGAAGTTGGCAGGGAGCAGAGAAGCCTGGCCCAGGTCGGTAAGGGACAAGCCTCAGACACACCCCGATGCGGCCAGGTATGTGGGCTCAGATGTGGGAGCCCAGAGGGACTCTGTGAGGAGACGGGCAGGAAGCCGAGGTGTTTACTATAGAGTGGAGGGCTGGGAACCCTGTGTGTGGTTCGCCTCTGTTGTTTCAGGGTAACATTCCAGGGGAATATTCCCAGGCCCCAGCGCCCAGACATGGCAGCAGGGCTGACTCGGGTTGTTTTTGGCCAGCGGGACCAGGGTAAGGAACAAGACGCTCTCTGGCAATGCCGGAATGGGCAGACCCACGTCACAGAGCAAACATGGGGAAACCGAGAAGAACCAGACATCGGGCGTATCAAGTGTTAGGGGTTGGGGATAAATGAGAACCCCCATTTTGTAGCTTCTGCTGTGGGGGGCACCAGAGCCACAGCCACCAGCACTGTGGGGGTCCAGCAGCGCTCTCCCCCTGCCCCAACTCTTGCTTTGGCAATCCTCCCTCTGCTAAAGGAAAAGGCAACTTTAGTACTTTTTTTGTTACAAAAACAACTTCATGAGAAAAAAAAAAAAGCAAAGGTTTAGAGCAGCCTGACTCCCTGGAGCCCCTGCGTAGAGAGACTTGCCAGGCAGCTGAAACTGCAGCTTCTGGGGCAGTCAGTGAACACACAGTGGTACAGGCAAGGTCGTGCTGTCCCTGTGTGGTCTTTAGATTATAAATATGTATATATATATGCTTTTGGGTTACACTGGATTGTGCTCAGGGATTATTCCTGGCAGGGCTTAGGGGACCACATATGGTCTAAGGTCAGCAGTACAAGGCAAGAAAGATCTTATCCTTTATCTCCTGTACTATCTCTCTGGTCCCTTAATTTTTTTTTTTTTAAACAACTTCTGGTAAAGAGTCTTGGAGTATCTGTGTTAGTATTCTCAAACAGACCTTCATTTAGGAGGTTCTTATTCTGCATCTACCAATAATATATCTAGAATTGTAAGAGATGGAAAAGGTCTTGGGAGCCATCTTATTCTAGTCCTTGTATTATTTTTCTTTATTTTGGGCCAAATCTGGCTAGTATTCTGGTCATTTCTAGGAGTACACTCGGGACCATGCACTGCCAGAGGTGAACGTGGGCCGCCTGCAGGCAAGGTGTGTCCCCATTCTTTGTGTTTTTTTTTTCCCCTGTTGGGCCACACCTGGCGATGCTTAGGGGTTGATTACTCCTGGCTCTGCACTCAGGAATTACTCCTGGTGGTGCTGGGGGGACCATATGGGATGCTGGGAATCGAACCCGGGTCAGCCACGTGCAAGGCAAACGCTCTACCCGCTGTGCTATCTCTCCAGCCCCTTACTCTTAACTCTTTTAAAGCTACAGATGTACGGGACACAGAGACAGCACAGAGATTAAGGGGCTTGCTTTGCACCCAGTTGATCTGGGTTTCATCTTGGCACTGCCTATACCCTCAGAACACCATCGGGAGTGATCCCTGAGCACAGAGCTAGGAGTAAGTTCTGAGCACAGCTGGCCCAAATCCCAAACCCAAACCCAAATCCCAGAAACAAATCAAAGCAGATTAAGCTCAGAATGTGGCAGCCCAGAGGGAACGGGGAGCCAGCAAGGGAGAGTCCTCCACCCTGTGTGGGGCTGGAGAGAGGCTGGGGCCTGGGGGCTGCCCGTGTCATAGTCACTCCTGTGGTGGCCCTCGAGTGCCCCCCATGGGAAGAGCCTCCGGGGCACAGGTCACAGACTGTCTCCAGCACCCAGCCACAGTTCCTCTAGGCGGGCTGCGCGGGCACTGCTGGCCCTGTGGATGGACCCTCTCCTTCCTTCCTAGCTGCCCGCAGGCTTCCCGGGGGAGCCGGCTGACCTTAAACTCTTCGTAAAGAAACATGGAAAATGTAATTTCATTTTTTTTATTCAACAATTTTACATAATAAATACAAACTTTGTACAGCCACTGTAAAGAAAGCACATTTGCACAGAGGCGCCTCGGCGCTGCCTGTGGCTGACGCAGCGTTACCTGTCCGGAGAGAGGAGGGGATCTGTTTATAAAGGAGGCATTATTTTTTTTTTACAACTTTGTAATTTTTCTCTTAAAATAAAATTAGCAGCTCTTCCAAAAAAATATTTTAAAATATAACAAAAGATTTCAAACCACCCTCTGAGGATGTGGAACCCAGGCTGAAGGGCAATTTGGCTAGCGAGGAGGAGGGCAGAGGGGCTGGGGGTGGGGGATGGGGGGATGTCGAACACGTTGGCAAGTTTTCAGTCTCGGGAAAAACCACCCTCTCAACTTGTTTTCTGTTTTTTAAACTTAAGAATAAGTTTGATAAACACAAAAAGACCTCAAATAGATCAACAGGTTAAAGAAATGTGAGGAAAAAAAAAAGCCCCCAGTCGTGGACCAGAGCCCCTCATGAGCATCACAAAGGTGATGGCCTGAGGATGGCTTAAACTGGGACATCACATGGGGTTTTAAAACCCCACGGGGGCATTTGGCAAGCATTTCAGGTCTCCAAAGATTCCTAGAAGGCATGGAGTTTTCAGCCTAAGGTACTTTTTCTGATTAAGTCCTGCAAATTCAATTTTATCCAGAAAAAAAAAAATAAGGGGAAAAGAAAAAAAAAAAAAGAAACTGGCAAAGTCCCTCAGTTCCGGGGCAGTGCGTGCCTGAACCCGTGTGATTCCGAGCTCCTTGGGGACGCACACAGCCCCTCTTTTCCTTGTCATTTTGCACCGGGGCAGGATTTACAAACTTCTAGTCCTTAGAAAACTGGAGCTGGTTCTGCCCGTGAGCTGCACGCAGGGTCTTCCTCCCATGAAAACGTCCAGAAGCTGCTTCTGTACGGGGAACAGTGCCCCGGCTCTCGGGGTCAGTGCTCCGACGGGGACCCCGCCGTGTGCAGGGTCTTCCTCAGCAGGAGAGAACCCAACGGTGTGGGCCGCGTCCTCGACTTCTCCAGACGCTCCGACAGCAGGTGTACCCGTCGCCAGAGTATGTGCTGCCCAAGTTAAGCTGGGAGAAAAAACAACCCCCCGAACTCAAAGGCTAAAAGAAGACGATGCTGGCTCCCTGCTGCCCAGGGCGCTCACCGCTGCTGTCTGCTGGCCAGTGAGGTGGACACGGCCTGACCGCTAGTTCAGACTCCATGTGAGCTCCACTAATACTAAATGCACGGCATAAATATTAATACAAAGGATACTGTTATTGTTTTCCACCTGTTAGTTGCGGGAGGACGTGCATTAATGCAATCGACGCTACACGCACGCACGCACGCAGGGCCATCTGCTGTTCCCTGCGAGGTTTCCCTTTCCAGTCCGGGGGAGGGGGCCAACTGTCGGGAGGAGCCAGCCTCTCCTGAAATCCCTCCTTCAGCTTCCCGCTGGTGCCACCAGGATCCGATTAAACCCAATCAGGCCAGAGGAAGCCACAGGGAGAGAGGAGCAGGTGCCGCTTGGGGCGGCCACAGTAATATACTGTACGAGTGCACTGAGCAGTGTCTCTGGAGCTGAGCCTGACCCGGGCCTGGCGCGCCTCTCCTGAGAGCAAGGACATGTGCTATGGCAGGAGAGAGGACGTAGAAAATGACAGCAACAACCAAGATGGGGGGGGGGGGGGGGAGAAAAAAAAAAGGCACAGAAGATCGGAACACGGGAGGCATCCGCCAGGCCAGGCCGGGTCACGGCTCGCCCTCGTGGCTCTTGCTCCAGTCAAGAGGCAGCATCATGCAAAGGTGCCGAAAGAGAACGCGAGCGCGGCCACACTCCGCCGAGCCTGGCCCTGATTGTAGCGATCGTGGAACGGGCGCGCGGTGGCATCACACCAGCGTGATCTCCACGTCTTCCAGCTTCTCGGCGGGCCTGCGTTGGCTCTGCGTGGGTGGCGGGGGAGCTGCCCGGACCTTGGCGGGGAAACGATGACAGGGACCCTTAGCCAGCGCCTGTGACCGACACGGCTGACCACTCACCCTGCAAGGGCGTGCCCTGGGCACGGCCTGGCAACCTTGTTTTCACCATTTCCGTATGTGTATGTGTGTGTGTTTGTGTGTGTGTGTGTGTGTGTGTGTGTGTGTGTGTGTGTGTAAGGGGGAAATGTGAAACCCAAGAATCTGGTTGGGCACAAGAGCTGCGACAGCCTACAAAGCCCTCTCCTCCCCACAGCAGGGGCCTGGAGCTGGAGGCAGGAGAGCAATGCTTAAAAACCTTCCAGTGTATGGGACCGTAATAATACTATAGTGGGGAGGGCACTTGCCTTGCAACAGACCCAGGTTCGATCCCCAGCATCCCCATACGGTCCCCTGAGCACCGCCGGGAATGACTTCTGAGCACAGAGTCAGGAGTCAGCCCTGAGCACTGCCAGGTGTGTCCCAAACCAAAAAAGAAAAAAGAAAAAAAAAAAACCCAAAACCCCTTCTAGAATATCTTTCAAGAGAGATGCAAGAGATAAATCAGGCTGAGGATGTGTCTTGAAGGGTGTAGCTGAGCCACCTTAGGAAACCTGAGCTTTACTCTGTGGGCAGAGGGGAGTCTGGGGGGCTTGAAACTGCACGCCGGGCCCGTGGAAAGGTGGCTCGAGGGTGACAGTCTGCCAGAAGAGGGGTGTGAAAGTGGAGGGAAGGAGACCACATGGGGGCGTTTCTGGAGGTGGCTGGAAGGGGGCAGACCAGGCAGGTCTCTGAGGGAGGCCTGGCAGGCCGTGCTGGTGCCCTGCGGGCCACAGTGCCAGGGAGGCAGCGAGAATGGCACCAGCGCACCTGGAGGATGGGGTCCCTGGGGCCAGGGCAGGCAGTGTGGGAGGGGGCAGGCGACAGGTAATTCCCTCGTGTGTGCCGAGTTTGGGGTCTGGCATGTACACCGAGAGACACCCCCGAGAGGTCTGTGGTTCTGAGAAGAGCTTGGGCTGGCGGTATAAACCTGGGAGCGGTCAGTGAAGGACTGGGCATGGGGCTGGAGAAGGGCAGGGAGCGGAGTGATTCCAGAGAACAGAGCTGGGCGAGGCCCCAGGGGGATGGGAGAGCGGATGGGACCCCATCGGTAACCCACCTGTCCATGCTCCCGCCCCCGCCACTGATGACTGCTGAGCCTTCCTCCTTCCTAACGTCCACATTGCCCCACGGTGTCTACAGAGCAAAAGTGCAGACCACCTCGGAGTGTGAGACAGTGTGGGGGTGGGGGCCAGGGCACTACCCCCTGCACCATCACGAAGGAGGAAGAAAGCGACAGGGGTGGGTGCCACCAAAAAGCAAGAAAAAAAATATTTATTTTGGGAGGGGGATTTTGGGCTATACCCAGTGATGCTAAGAGGTTACTCCTGGCGTGGCACTCAGGAATTACTCCTGGCAGGCTTGAGGGACAGTATGGGATGGCAGGGACAGACCTGGGTTGGCCACATGCAAGGTGAACACTTTATCCGTTGTACTATTGCCCCGGCTCATGGTCTTTTTTTTTTTGTGTGTGGCTTTTTGGGTCACACCTGGCGATGCTCAGGGGTTACTCCTGGCTCATGCACTCAGGAATTACTCCTGGCGGTGCTCGAGGGACCATATGGGAAACGAACCCGGGTCAGCCACGTGCAAGGCAAACGCCCTACGTGCTGTGCTATCGCTCCAGTCCCCAGCCCATCGTCTTTTAAAAGTTTTGCTTTCAAATTGCAGTATAACCAATAAAAAAATGTTGGTTTTATCTACTTTCTTTTTGAGGGGGCACATGTTGTACTGGGAATTGAACCCAGGGCTTGACACAAGCAAGAAAAGTGCTGTTACACTGAGCTGTACCTCCAGCCCCTCAAGACCCCTTTTCTTTTGTTTTGTGTTAGGCCACACCCTGCGGTGCTCAGGAATTACTCCTGGCTCTGTGCTCAGAGGACCATAAGGGCTGCAGGGAATTGAATCCGGTCAGCCAGCTGTATGCATGGCAAGTGCCCTACGCACTGTACTATTCTGCTCTGGCCTCCACGAGCTTTTAGTTTCGGGGCCACACTTGGCAATGCTCAGGGGTCCTTCCCGGCTCTGCACTGAGGAATCCCTCCTGGCAGTGACCCAGAGCTCTTCTGATGTTCTAAACCCACCTCATCCTTTACATGGGGGCTGCGGGGACACGCCACAGGGTGCCCAGGGCCCCGCATCTCTACCGTCCCATCTTGGGGGGGGGGAGGAGCATGTACTCCTGGCTTCCCAGATGGGAGACTTACAGGTCGCAGTTTGCCGTAGGAGGCGTCAGGCGTGTGCCGCGGGGCCTGGGAGAATCCTGGCGACTCGGCGTGGAAACTGTTTTCTGGGAGAGTGAATGAAAGCCGCTCACTGGGGGGCCGCACTGGGCAGTGTGTGGGTCATGCGCCTGCCCATGCACTACCTGTGGGCAAGCGCCTGGCCTCAGTGGCTTGTGGGCCCCGTTTTTACCTGCTGGCTTTCAGGACCAACCAGCTGTCCTCCCTCCGGGTTCGGCTTCTGCCCCACACTGCCCTTCTGTGTCTTCGTAGCACTGATGCTGGCTGGGGGCTGCCAGCACTTGTGGCACCAGATTACTACTGACGGTGCCCTGGGGATTATTACTCTAGGAGAGGTGGCGATGCCAATGCCGGGGGGCAAGCCCACGGCCTCAGGCCTGCCAGGCAGATGCTCTGCCTCTTAGCCTTGGCCCCAAGTCCCCCCAAGCAGCCATTCTTGTTTTGTAGTTCTGGGTCACCCCTGGCTGTACTCAGGGCTTACTGGCTCTGGATTCAGAGACTGCTCCTGGAGGCCGTGCTTGGGTGGACCATATGGGGTGCGGGGAACTGAACCCAGGTTGGCGGCGTGGCAGGCAAGTGCCTTATCCTCTGTACTATTGTCCTGCAGCGACACTTTGTCTGGCCTTCAGGGGAGCCTCAGAATTGCCGACTGGGAGCGACTGCACCCCAAGCCCAGGAGAGCGCTTACCGCTGGCTGAGGGGGAGCGGGGGAAGAGCTGGGAGCCCCTCTTGTCCGGGCTGGGGTAGGGGCTGCTGGGCGGCTGATCATACAGTGGCAGTGGCTGCAGGGCGCTGGCCGGCTTGGGAGAAGGCGAGACCTGCCGGAGAGGAAGGAGGTGACTGAGGGCTCCCCCCGGGACACTGACTGGGTCGCCCCTCTGCCCACGCCAGACAAACTGCTTCTCGCTGGAGCCCAGACAACGGCTGCTTCTCTCCTCAGCCTCGTCAGAGAGCAAAGGAGCCTGGGACCATCACCCTCCATCCCCACGTCACACTTCCCCCTTTTTCTCTTACGGAGCTAATTTCAGTTTATCTTGAACGGTCCCCAAGTCAGGCCATTCTCTGCAAACATGCCCGATGAACCAATCCGACAGACAAAAGAAAAGAAAAAAGGTGGTCTGACTTTCTGCATAGAGAAAAAACGCAGGGCCGAGTTTCCAGGTTCCACGCACATCGGGCTAAGTGGCTGCAGCACCCTGTGTGCCTGAGGTCCCCCAGCGGGGTTCCTGGCCAGGCAGCTGGTGGGGCCGAGGGAGTGGGGGGCTGGCATGCTCGGGAACTCTAGGAAGTAAACTGGAGGTCCCAGGGCTGGGCAGGGCGACCATGGCCGTGAGGGCAAAAGCGAGCTGGCATCTTCGCTCCTAGCGTGGACCGTGGGGAAGGTGTGGCCTCTCTGGTTCTTTTCCTCCTGACACGGAACCATTCGGTGCCTGTCACATACAATGAAGCCTTCTGGCCAGCCACTGCAGGGTGGAATGGGGCCTCTCTGCAGGACTCCCCCAGTCTACTTTTTTTTTCTTTTTTCGTTTTGGTTTACACTCAGTGATGCTCAGGGGTTACTCCTGGTTCTGTACTCAGGAATTACTCCTGGCGATGCTTGGGGGACGATACAGGATACTGGGGATTGTACCAGGGTCAGCCGCATGCAAGGCAAATGCCCTCCCCACTGTACTATCGCTCTGGTCCCCCCGTCTAGTTTTGTGGGCCGCTGGTAGCTGGGATGGAGTGGTAGGGAAGGTGGCGACCACCTGACTAGTCCACGGACCCCCACCCCCCACGGGGTTCCCTTTCTTTGAGCCATCCTTTCCTTCACTTTGCGCCCTGCTCCTGTTCACCTGGGTCTCTCGTGCCCACGGGGCATCCCCGTTTTCCGGGGCCGACAGCTCTTCCACTAGCACCGAAGGGAAGACGCCAACCCGCCCGCTGAACTCTCCTTCCCAGAAGCCGTCGTCGTCCTGGTTTTCTTTGTTCAGGATTCGAATGATGGCTCCCTCAGGAAAAGATAATTCGTCGTCGGTCTGGCCCTCGTAGTCATAAAGTGCTTTCACAAAACAGGCTGGGGAACAAGGGAAAGGGGGAGAGAGAGGGAGAAAGAGAGAGAGGGAGAGAGCACCAGCCAGTCGGCACAGTGGCAGGCAGGGGATGCCCTCTGCAGCCTCCCCGCTGCCCAGGGAGAGCCCGAGAGCCCTGTCCACTGATGCTGCCTCTACTCATGGGAGGAGCAACCTGAGGCTCGAGGCCTGGGATAAAAGTGCCCGAATCAAGGATGACACTCTAGAGTAATGCTGTGTCTTTTAACCTAGTGTGGCTGACACCAGGGCAGTACAGCGCAGGCCACACGGGACCAAACCAAGGGCGCCTCGGTTCCGTTTTTACCGCTGGCATCTCCGTTGAGGCTGCCGGACACGAGCTCGGCCTCGGTGGAGTTGCTGGAGGTGTGTGAGCGGCTGTCCAGGGCGGCCAGGGACTGCAGCATGCTCAGGAGGCTGTTCGAGGTGGGGAACTGCAGGTACTTTTCCGGCACATAGCCCACTTGGCCGACCTTGTTTCGAGCCTGCGTGAAAGACACGAGACAAAGCAGGTTGGCGTGCACACCTTTGGACAGGATCCCAAGGAACCCAAGCACACGCCTGACGCAACGTCCCAGGCAGGGGCAGTATGAGCAAAGGAGTATACCTTTACCCAGTCTTCCATATCGCCATCTTCAATCACTTCCAGCACCTCGTGTTCCTCAATGGTCAATTCGTCGGGCTGAGAAGCCTGCAGTGGAGGATGGGCATGGACAAAGTGTGAGAGGTTAGCCACGGAGCAGATGAGGCTTGGGCGGAACAAAATCGGGGAGGGGGGGAGGGAGGGAGGGAGGGCAGGAGGTGGGTCAAAGTAGAGAAATGATTCCGAAAAATGCAGTGAACATAAATTTAAGTGCCGTAAAACTCTCAGAATGAGGGGAGGTTTCACTTAAAAAGCACTGTCCTCCCGTTGTTCATCTATTTGCTCGAGTGGTCCCAGTAACGTCTCCACTGTGAGACTTGTTACTGTGTTTGGCATATCGAACATGTCACGGGGAGCTTGCCAGGCTTTGCTGTGCGGGCGAGATACTCTTGGTAGCTTGCCGGGCTCTCCGAGACGGGCAGAGGAATCGAACTCGGGTTGGCTGGACTGACCGCATGCAAGGCAAAGGCCCGACCACAAAAAAACAGAACAAAACAAAACAAAAACCAAAACAAATAAAAAAAACCAACCAAAACCAACAAAATTCAACAGAGTAAGTCACAGCAGACATGGGAAGACACGGACCCCTCCAGGGGCAGTGCAGAGCTCAGCTTAGGCCTCTGCAGGCCCAGCCATCCCTTGAGGTCTCCACTTCTTGCAAATGACAAGCCTGTCATCTGCAGAGGATGAGGCGGGGTTGCTGTGGGGTGAACAGGCACAGAGCCATGGCAGTCTGGGAAGCTCAGGGGGCTATCGGGGTGGCAGCTGTGAGATCGTGGCACATGATGACAGCTCGAGCAGCGCCTTGCAGGGTCTGGGTTGCTGTGAACGAGTGGCCGAGAGCAGAGAGCCGAGGGCAGGGAGGGAGCGTGATCCAGTCCAGTTATGGATTTATGCTGCACCAACGTAAACACAGAGATGGGACCAATCCATCTTCGTGCCCTGTGCAGACCACTGGCGGGCGGTGTGATCGACCCTGACGGGAAGGAGGCCAGGAGCACCAGCCCCCCAGATACCGACCCCCCCACCCCCCCGAGACTGGAGCATCTGAGCACAAACTCTCAGGGCTTCACGGAGCAGAGATCCGGTGTGCTTCTGTCTGTCACACAGAGCCGTGAGGGGCCTGCTGGCATCCCCTGGCTCTTTTACGCCTTCAAAGCCTTCCCTAAGAGCAGTGAGAGCTGTGACCCAGGGCTGTGTCACTGCTCAAGCCAGACCAGTTTCAAAGTGTGAAATATGTCCTGGTCCTAGAAGCAGGAATAAGGCAAGAAGATGAGTCGCCTTCCTCACAGACTTGCTTCCCATTTCAAGTGCACTGGGACGTTGCATCAAGCCCAGGCTCGACGTTGCGACAGCGGCTCGGGGTGGAAGACCAGAACCGTGGCTGCCCAGACGCACAAACACACCCGGGTCGGAATTCTAAGCAAGCGACCGCTTGGCCTCAAAAACACGAGGTAAGAATCAGCTTACTGGCAAGGGACAGCTTGCGGGACTACTTTTCCCGGGGAGTTTCTTAGCTGGTTGGAAGCCACATGATGCCCTGAATAGAGCCACAAAAAGTAGCTGTGACACAACTTCCTCCTTGGTTTTCCTACTTCTATGGCAAGACTTACAAAAATGTACCAAAGTTTCTTTAACCAGTCATCTGTTCTAGGGCACTTGGGTTGTTTCCAGATTTTGGCTATTGTGAACAGTGCTGCAATGAACATATTGGTACAGATGTCATTTCTACTGTGCTTTTTTGCATCCTTGGGATATATTTCCAGAAGTGGTAATGAGGGGTCATATAGAAGCTCAATTTCTAGTTTTTGAAGGATTGTCCATATAGTTTTCCAGAAAGTCTGGACTAGTGGGCATTCCCACCAACAGTGGAAGAGTGTCCCTTCCCCCCCACATCCACACCAGCATTGGTTGCTTTTGTTCTTTTGAATGTGTGCCAGTCTCTGTGGTGTGAGATGATTATCTTATCATTGTTCTTATTTGCATCTCCCTGTTGGCTAGCGATGTGGAGCACTTTTTCATGTGCCTTTTGGCCATTTGTATTTCTTTTTTGAGGAAACTTCTGTTCATTTCTTCTCCCCATTTTTTTATGGGGTTGGAGGTTTTTTTCTTGTACAATTCTACTAGTGTCTTGTATATCCTGGATATTAATCCCTTATCAGATGGATACTGGGTAAATGTCCTTTCCCATTCTGTGGGCTCTTTCTGTATTTTGGTCACTGTTTCTTCTGAAGTGCAGAAGCTTCTTAGTTTGATGTAGTCCCATTTGTTAATCTCTCAGGGTCTGTATTGCAAACCATAATGCCCAAAAGTAGAGAGAAATTATGGGGAATGATGTCTGCCATGGGCTGGAGCGATAGCACAGTGGTAGGGCGTTTGCCTTAAGTGCAGCCAGCCCGGCCGAGCCGGGTTCTATTCCTCCGCCCCTCTCAGAGAGCCTGGCAAGCTACCTGTGACGTCTTCAATATGCCAAACACAGTAACAAGAAGTCTCAAAACTGGAGATGTTACTGGGCCCGCTCGAGCAAACTGATGAACAATGGGAGAACAGTGTTTTTGTTTTTGTTTTGATGTCTGCCATGGAGGCAGGGAGAGGGTGGGAAAGGGGGGGTATACTGGGGATATTGGTGGTGGGGAATGTGCACTGGTGGAGGGATGGGTGTTTGATCATTGTGTGATTGGAACCCAAACATGAAAGCTTGTAACTATCTCACGGTGATTTGGTGATTCAATAAAATTAAAACATATAATATATATATGTATATATAAATATATATGTATATACAGATAGATATATAGATATAAAGCCTTACAAAAATGTCGGCGCTGGCAGATGTGAGCGTGCAGGAGTCAGGCAGAGGGATACTGTGAGCACCCTCTATTTCTGCCCAAGTGAGAGTCTCGGGGCCCGGACCAGGTGCCAGCAGAAGCTGGTCTCCATCCGCTGGTCCCTGCCCGCCCAGCTCTGCGGACTCTGCTCTTGAGGCCCTGATGCCAACACACTTCTCCTTCCTGTGCTCACCCGGCTGTGCGTGAGTCTAGCCTGCTGCAGCTGCAGTTCTGGCTTCAGATTCTATTCTGTGGGCAAGCAGCACCACAGTCCTCTCTGTGCTTCATTTCTCATTCCTGTAAACTCTGGGGGGCGGGGGGGCAGAGACTGTTTTTTTGGGGGGGGGGGTTCTGTTTTGATCCGGTCTCTATTTGCCAGTGGAAAAGAGCATAGCATTCTACGTGGAAGGCGTTCACGTAACACTAGCTGAACAGGGGGCGGGCTGATAATCTCCTTCAGCCGTCAGAAAGACTGGGGCACCGTGCGTGGGTGGCAGGCACACAGAGGTTCCGCACATGAGCTGCTTTATTGCTCCTGGTTGGTTGCCGGGCTCATGGTTCTCTGGCCGCCCTCACGAGCCGCGGCCGCCTTTTGCTCTCTCGAGGCTTGTGTGTCCCACCAGCCCCTGCTGCGCCCTGGGGAGCTGTCTGCCTCGCGGGGTTCTGCTCGCAGTGACTTACTGAAGTCAGGGGTGTCCCCTGTGCTCGCCCCAGCGAAGGGCCAGGGGTCAGGGAACGACTGTGAGATAAACTCAGGCCCTCACGCTGCCCGTTGTGAACCCATGCCCGAGCCAGGACTCGAAGCAGCCCTGCCCTCCGTGCCTACCCCCAGGCTCTTGGATTCTTGCCTTCCTGGTTGTATGAGTATTTTATGTTCACTGGAGAAAAGCTGGAAAATAATATGTAATTGGAAATGGGAAATTGGAAAATAATTACATACTAAGAAAATAATACGTGATTCTTTTACAGAACACATATTCTGATAACTTACTTTTAAAAAAAAGAGAGAGCTTTTCCTCATACATAAAAAAAAATCTCTAAGATAATTCCCAATTATATTCATTATATGTTAGGGTTCTATACCATGAGTGATTTCTCTGGTTTCCCCTTGGTGGACTGTGAACTTATGTTTACTTACTGCGGGCCCAACCCAGCGGTGCTGGGGGGACCCTGTGGGGAGTTGGCATCTGAGTCAGTGCCATATGCTAGGCGAGCACTTGACCTTTGTGCCACCTCCCCAGCCTCTGGACTGTGAACTTTAAACTATTAAGGAGAAGTGGTATGATGACAGAACATTATATATACACAGAATGACTCTCTATATTGTGGTGGTTTCCTTAGGACAGATGCTATTAGGGCCAAAAGGTATGAGCATTTTTTGGTTTTGGGCCACACCTGGCAGTACTCAGGGCTCTATCCTGGCGGGTCTCAGAGGACCAGATAAGGTGCTGGGGATCGACACCAGGGGCCAGCCGTGTGCAAGGCAAGTGCCCTACCTGATGCATTATTGCTCCAGCCCAGTTATGAGCATTTTAAAGGCACTAAATCTCTTTAGCTTTTGTTGTGTTTTGGGGAGACATGCCCTCTGGTGTTCAGGGGTCATTATTGGCTTTATGCTTGTGGGACGATGTAATGCTAGACATCCCATATGCAAGCATGTACTCCAGCCTGTTAAGGCATCTCTCAGACCCCTCTAGCCATTAATTTTAGGGTTTCTTTGCTATTTGGGGGGGTCACACTCAGCTTTTTTTTCTGAGGGGTGGGGGGACCAAGGGGTGCTGGGAACCCAACCCTGAGCCTTACACACGCAAGGCAAGTACTTGTCCACTGAGACACAACCTCAGCCCATCATTTTAGGTTTCTGTGGTTCTCAGCAGATTAATCCAGGTGTCCCCTGTGGCTGTGATCTCAGGAATTACTACAGGCCTCTCTCTCCTGCCCTCTGCCGCCATCAGGGCTCCCTGTTCGGATGCCCCATCTGGTTCTGGGACATCCAATCTCTCCTCCCAGCCAGCACAAAAGCCAAACCGAAGTAATCTCGAGAAGTCCTGGCGACAGGATGAGCAAACGCCTCTGTGCCCGTGGCTTTGTGCCTCACACTGGCTGCTGAAATACCAATGAATTTCATATTTCCTGAAAAACCTCATCAAGTTTTGTTTTTGGGCCACACTTGGCGATGCTCAGGGGTTACTCCTGGCTCTACACTCAGGAATTACTCCTGTCAGGGTTGAGGGAACCATATGGGATCGAACCCGGGGACTGAATCCGGGTCAGTCAAGTACAAGCAAGTGTTCTACCCGCTCAAGCCTAAAAGCCTCATTGTTTTCATCCACTGTATCCTTTCATGTTCTTTTTGCTTACAAGGCTCTTTCCCTGCCCTACCTTCTCTCATGACCTAATTTAAATGCCATCTCAGCTGTAAAATTTCTCACAACTATTACAGGAAGAATTATGGGTTTTACTTCTCACTGTAAATGCTTTCAAACACAATATTATGTTTCAGTTTAATATTTACTGCCCCCAGAATATCCATTCCCGAGGGGTAAGGATTCTGTCAAATTCTTTCCTACAACCCTACAACTCACATTGGGCACCCGATAAATGCTCAGAGATTAACTACATTTCACAGCCTGAGTCACCAGAAAGCTATGCCTAGAATATGCCAATAGAGGAAACACCGGACAAATCACTCAGAAAATGAGAATCACTTTCACTTAAGGAATCGAAATTTTGCAGGGATGGGGGTCTGGGGGACCTTGTGGTGACAGGACAGAACCCAGGGCTCCCACATGCAAAGCTTGTGTTAGGCCCTTTGAGCCATCTCCAGATTTTAATTCTAGAACATCAAAGTTAATATAATACTGAGTGACATAAGGAAAATGTTTCATCCTTAGTCTTAAGAGTCACTCTTGAACACCTTCCCAAAAACTTCAGAAGGTGACTTCATGGTTTCAAAATATTATTAAAATAGGGCCCGAAGCGATAGTATCGTGGGTTAAGGTGTCTTGCACGCGGCCAACCCGGGTTTGATCACTGGCATCCCATATGTCCCCTGTGCACTGCCAGGAGTAAGCCCTGAGCATCGCCGGGTGTGGCTATCCCCCCCTAAACCCAAGGGGAAAAAAAAACAAACACAAGCCCAAACCCAAAACGTTTAAACCCCCCAAATATTAATAAAATAGTTTACATTGAAAAAAACATACCAACTTTTCAGGAAAGAGGAAGTGTTAGTAATTTAAATCAAGTAACAACATTTAATAAAAGGTCTGGGGATCACTGAAGCGTGAGGAGTAAATGCTGCTGACTCGTGCACCTGGGGACGGGGACAGAGATTACCCTGTCCCAGGCCTGATCAGGGGGTGTCCTCTTGACGCTTCCTCCCTAGAGGCTCTCCAGCACTGGCCTGCCTCAGCACGGCAGCCGGGAGTGCTCTGCAGCCTGCCCGCGTCTTAACTACAACTGTCCTTCTTCCTTCCACATCTGTGGAGCACCTAAGGTGCCAGGGCTTGATCCAGGTGCTGAGGACACATGGAATGGGATGGACAGGGGCAGGTTCCTGCCTTTACGAAAGTCTGAGGTGTATGGACACAAAATTCAGCGTGGCTGGTAGTAAGGGTCATAGAGAAAATTCAGGATGGGCCAAAGGCCACGGAAGAGAGAGCAGGGGTGGAGGGATGGCTATGCTGTAGGCAGCCCTTGAGCTCGGGCACAGCAGTGGGCAGGCAGTGGGCTGACTTCTGGGAAAGGAGAGTCTGGGGCAGCGCAGCCCAGGAGGGAAGGAGCCCGGAGCCTCTGCAGAGGGCGAGGCAGCCAGAGCTTATGCAGAGAGGAGCCAGGAAAGGACACGAAGGCAGGGGTCCACTCATCCCAGTTACAGAACTCAACAGAGGGTCAGTGTTTCGATGTGAGGTAGAAAACTTGCAGTGGGGTTCAGGCAGGGGAAGGCAAGAAACTCATTTATCTGTTGAAGACAATGGACTGCTGGGAAGCAAATCTGAGGAAGGGAGAGCAATCTGAGGGTGGTCCCCCTCCTGGTATCGTAATCAAAGCGAAGCCTTGGGTTAAACGGGGAGACTGGGCGCCTTCTGGATCTGCTCTGGAGATGAACGCAGAGGACTGGCTGCAATCGGGAGGAAATGCAGTTCCGGTTGTATGTGTGAAGAGTCCCCGTGAGCGCAGGGCAGGGCTGAAGAACCATGACGCCCAAGGCAGGCTGGAAGCCTGGCGTTGGTTTCTCCAGACCTTTGCTTAAAATGGAAAGAGGAGGTGGATACAGTAAGGGTAAGAAAGGTGAAGGCAGGACTGGAGAGAGTACAAAGGCTGTGGCTGCAACTCTGGTTCAAATCCTGACATGGCCAGGTGTGGCTCTGTGAGCACAGAGCCAGCAGCGACCCCCTGAGCACTGTCTGGTATAGCCCGGAAACAAAAACAAAAGAAGGGTAAAGGTTAGAAAAAAGTTTTGTAAAGAAAAAAAAAATCTCATTTTTTAGGGTTGCCCTTGTGGGCACTGGCTAGGATACTGGCCGTGACAACTAGTTCTATAAAACAGGTTTACAGAAGGAGGCTGGAAGTGGCTCAGCTGGGTGCGGTCAAGACGCCCCCAGAGCAACTGAAGAGTAACTGATGGCATGTGACGGGGAGTGGGGTGGAGGCAGTTACTCGGACCCGGGTGCACAGACCTTGTAGGAGTAGACGACCTTGCAGGTGAGCGGGTAACTCCGTAAGGTGCCGGATGGGCTGGAGCTGCTGTCATCAAACACGTCCATGCTGTCTTCCAGCTCCTCGCCCTCTTCCCTCTCGGCGTCGGCGTGAACCTGGGGAACACCAGGAGACACTGGCTAGCCTGTGTTCTTCAAGAAAGCAGCTGGAAGCGGGGAAAGCACTTAAAACCTGAGGGTTCCAAAATCTGATTTCACTGCAGGTAGAAAATAGCTATCTGGGGCCGGAGAGATGGCACAGCAGGCAAAGCACTTGCCTTGCATGTTCCACCCCCAGCATCCCACTTGGTCTCCTGAGCACCACCAGGAGTGATTCCTGAGTGCAGAGCCAGGTGTGGTCCAAATGTAACCCGCCCCTTGGGGGGAAAAAAAAGACGAAGAAGAGAAAAGTATCTGCTCTCATTTGTATTTTAGGTGAGAGGACAGAGACTTTAAAAACCCAACACCCAACAGTGAAATATTTTCTCAAATATTAAACAAATAGGTATCACTATTTTTTAATTTGTGTGGTTAAATATTGATGAATAAAAGCCTCATCATTTTATTTATTTTTGGGCCACACGTGGTGATGCTTAGTGGTTACTCCGGCTCCGCACTCAGAGTCACTACCGACGGTGCTTGGGGGACTGTACGGGACACTGAGGATGGAACCTGGGTTAGCTGCATACAAGGCAAGATCCTTCCCTGCATACAACCTTGCCTGCTGCACTATCCGTCTGGCCTCCAGGTCTCATCATTTTAAACTGATTATATTGCGAAGAATTGAAAAGATTTCTAGACTGCTGATTCTAATCCTAATCCTTGGGAACTGGGGAGAATTTTTAAAAGCTATCTAGGACCGTCCCTGGCTGGCAAAAATATAATGGATAAATCTTTTTTAAAAGAACCTCCATCCACTGAAATAGAAACTAAACCTACAACTTAACCCAGCAATTATATTTCTGTGAATCCACTAAAGAGATTTAAAAAATCAGGATATATGATACATTTTAGGCTCTTTGGTCTAATATTGCTGGAGTGGCAAAATCCAAGACACAACCTTAATGCCAGCAATGGAGGTATGTTTGAATCAACTATGATGTGTCCACATTATAACTAGCACCCACTGAAAATGAGTTTGGAAACAGAAAGCCCAGAAGGGGCTGGAGAGAGAGAACAGTGGGAAGGGCTCTTTCCTTGCACACAGCTCATTAGTTCGATCCCCGGCACCCCACGTGGTCTCCTGAGCCCTCCAACAAGCCCTCCGAGTGCAGAGCCAGGAATAACCCTTGAGCACCACTGGGTGTGGCCCCCCATCAAAAAAATAAAGTCCAGAAATAAACCTTCACATAGAAGATTAAGTGATTTTTGATGAGAGTTTCAAGAGTGTGGAATGGGGAATGGGCCAGTTTCTCAACAAATGGCACTGGAAAACCAGACATCCATGTGTAAAACTAGACCCTTACACCTTCATAAGAATGAATGCACATGGATTAAAGAACAACGAAAATTAAAAATATAAAACTCGCAGGAGCAATAAGGCCTCCATGCACTGTATTTGGTAATGATTTGTCTGCTTGGACACCAAAAGTATAGCCAACACGATATTGCAGTAACTGAATAAATGAACACAAAGCTAATGAGAGAGCAGGGTAGATAGGGCTGAGAGAGATTAAGGACTATAAATCAGGCCGAAAACCCTGGCAGTGATTTATCCAGGCCTTGCTGAATAAGGAGACAAGAAGTGGTTATATTTAAGTTAGGAAAGGTAAAAGAACGAGACCTCATCAAGTTAAAATCATGTGTGGCAAAGAACAGAGTTAAAAGGCAAACGTCACACTTCTGATAAAGGATTCATTTCTAGAATTTGCAAACTATTCCTAAGACTCAGAAAGAAAGCCCAACTCAAAAACTGGCTAAGGACTTGAAAAGTCCTTTGAGGAAGACATACAAGTGGTAAGTGCTGCCCAGGGACACACAACATCAGGGAAATGCAAACCCAAATTACAAGGGAATAATGCCCCACAAGCACTAGGACAGCTATTTAAAATAAGAAAGGCGGACTGGAGAGCTAGCACAGTGGGTAGGGCACTCGCCTCACCCAGGCTGGATCTCTGGCACCAGATATGGTCCCTCCAAGCCGTGCCAGGAGTGATCCCCGGGTACAGAGCCAGGAGTAAGCTCTGAGTACCACCTGGTACAGTCCCAAATAACAAAAATTAAATATAATAAATAAATGAAAAACGGGCTGGAGAGAGAGTCCAGGAGGCAAGGTGCTTGCCTTGGACGCAGCTGCACTGACCGCAGCCCTGCATCTCACTTGGCCCCCTGAGTTTGCCAGGGGTCACTCCTGGGCTCAGACCTCCAAATAGCCTGAGTACCTCTAGGTGTGGCCCTAACACACACACCCACACCCACACACACACACACACACACACACACACACACACACCCATACACCCCAAACAAAAAAGATTAATGAGTGTTGGCAAGGATATGGAAAAACTGGAATACTAGCATACTGCTTGTAGAAATACGGTGTAGCTGATGTGGAAAATGTGGTGTTTCCTTATGATCCAACAAATTCCACTTCTGGAACTAAAAACAGGGGCTTGAAAAAATATTATTTTCGATGGTTTACAGCCCTATCAGTCACAACAACCAAAAGTTGGCTGCTCCGTGCCCACTTCAGATGAACAGAAAAACAACCTATGTATGCACACACAGCTACCAATTTCCGACTTAAAAACAAAATTCTGACGCAAGCTGCAATAGGGATGAGTGTGGGGCTGTTAGCATTAAGTGAGACAATCCGACCACAGAGACACACTGCATGCTTCCTCCATGAGGCCATCCACTTCTCCCGGTCAGGGTGGAGGTGCTGGGAGAACGGGCCTCTGTAGTTAATGGGTACAGTGTTTTTTCGGCACGCGGGGTGGGTATGGCTGGTAAGTAACATATGCACTCAGTACCGCTGAACTAAATGGCGAATTTGTTAGAAACATTTTATCTTGAAAATACGTCCTTTGAAATGCAGAAGGAAAAAAAATTTTTTTTTAACCCAGTCTCAATGTATATTATAACAGCTGACAGGTAAATTGAAATGGTAAAGCATAAAATATTTATTTTGTAGATTATCGTCATGATATTCAGGCACAAATGCTATCCATATAAGCGTAAATATCGGCGGGAGCAGAGGAAGGAGAATGCGAACAGAGACGACTGGGCCTGGAGGACGGCACAGCGGCTTACAGCCGAGCTGCTTCATCTTCAGTGTAACTTTGTCCCACCACCCTGGTGGGCATCCCGTACCTGAATGTGTGGGTCACTCTCTGGGTACCATGTGGGGAAATTCAGCTCTGCCCATCTGCCTTGACCCCAGTTTCCCAGTTTCGCCTGGACAGTTTTTGGAAATGCAAGTGCAGCTCCCACAGGCTTTGTGTGTGGCCCGTCACCCTACACCCCCAAACGGCATGGCTGCATAAGAGGCTGCACCACAATTATAAACACTCAAAGTTCTGTTGGATAGCTCAGACATTAGCCCAGACACACACACACACACACACACACACACACACACACACACACACACTGTGTCACTATCCTCCCGTTGTTCATCGATTTGCTGGAGTGGGCCCGGTAACGTCTCCATTGGAGACTTTGTTGTTACTGTGTCTGGCATATCGGATACTCTCGGTAGCTTGCCGGGCTCTCCGAGAGGGGCGGAGGAATCGAACTCGGGTCGGCCATGTTGGCTGCTTGTAAGGCAAACGCCCTACCGCTGGGCTATCGCTCCAGCCCACACATACACACAGAAAACAAAAAACTAAACAACTACAAAAGTCATTAAAACATGGCACCGAAGCACACTTGCCATGGGAACACAGGTCCCAGGGGTTTCCAGACACCTGACCCCTCCCAGCACCAGCCCAATCGTACTGCCCCAACAGACTCAGCACCGAGCCAGCCTGGCCTTTGTTAGTAGCGAACAGAACATCAATGGGAAACAACAGAATACAGAGAGGCCGGAAGACAACGAAGCCCCCATGATTCCCAGTGACATCAGACCTCCGCAACCTGCCCAAAGAACCTTCAGGACAACCATCCTATCAGTGCTTAATGATCTGAAAATGATGTTTCTAGCAAGGACTCAATAAACTCGAAGAGAGCTTGATGGAAAAAGTGAGAGAAATCATTCAGATAGAAGTAACAAAATTTAGTGCAGCAGTAGGTGCTGAGGAGATAGTACAGTCGGTAGGGCATTTGTCTAGCATGCGGTAGCCCCCAGTTCAATCCTGGTATCCCATATGGTCCCCTGAGTATAACCAGGAGTGATCCCTGAGTACAGAGCCAGGAGTAAGTCCTGAACAAAGCTGGGTGGGACCCCTCTGCACGTCCCCACCTACAAAGGAATTCATAGTTAAATTTTAGAAGTATGGATAAAGCTGAAAAGTGAATCGGTACATTCCAAGACTGGTACACAGTAAACAAATCCAGAGAGAAAAGGAAACAGAACAGAGAAAGAAAAAAAAATGAAGACACTTTACGGGAAATTATTGCCAATGCCAAGAGGAGCAATTTCAGAATCAGGAATTCCAGAAGGAGAAAGATAAAGAGAAAGACAAGTTGGGGGTCAGAGATATTACGGTACAATAGAAATGTGTTTGCCTTGTAGGCGGAACCAACCCGGGTTTGATTCCTAGCACTCTATCTGTCTCCCAAGTCCACCAGGAGTAATTACTGATTGCGGAGCCAGGAGTGACCCCTGGGCATCGCTGGATGTGGACAAAACCCCCCAAAACTTTTTTTTTCAAAAAGAGAAAGACAAGTTGGAAGAAAAAAATTGGGGGTAATTTCCCCAACTAAAGAGCAAGAGAGAGAGATGGATGCAGAGACACCAGAGGACCAGAGAATACCAACTAGAATAAGCCCAGATGAAACTACACCGAGAGATTCTGTAGTCAAAATGGCAAGAACAAAAGATAGACTCCTTACAGCTGCAAGAAAAAAGTAAAACCTAACATACAAGGGCCAGATTCACAGAAGATTCCTCACAAAAAAATATGCAAGTGAGAAAAGAAGGGAACACATTTGAAATATTGAATAAAAAGTTCTCC